TTGGGGGGGGGGTGTCTGGGTCCGCCCCCGCCCCCCAGCACGTGTTCGGGGTCTGGGAATTAAAGATGGTGCCTCGGCAGGGCACGTGTCCGCCGTACACATTCAGAGCTGGTGCAGAGCGGTGCTGCGCTGCTTGCTTTGCCTGCCTGTCAGGGTCTGAAAATGGGGCTCCATCTTGGTGCGAGCAGCCTCTCAGACCCGAGATGGTGCATTGTATACGTGGGCCTGATGTAAGTGCACCCCGGCGGCGGGAACCGGGAAGGCTGCCCGTCGGTTCGGCTTCAGTGGGAAGGGTAGCTACGAACAAACGGCAGGTGATGTCGTTGGTAGAGCTGGCCGCAGGGCTGGCTGCGGTTGCGGTTTGTGCGTGTCTTGAGAATGCCGATAGTCTGGCTTTCTTTCCTCTGCACTGGGGAGTCAGTACGTGAGGGTAGCAGAATTTATACCGTGAGGGGGAGTTGCAGTGACTTCCTATTTCCATATCTCTAGAAACTTCTTTAGTCTCTCTTAAAAAAACTTAACAATCGCTAGAAGCATTTTTTAATCGCAGTGAAATTTCAGAGTTACGGTGTTAGGAAGAAGAAAAGCAGCACCAAGCAAAGACAAAATTCTGGTTTTAACCTTTAGAGCCTTCTGACTTTAAATTCTGGGTTTGTCATGGAGTTTCTGTCTCTGGTTCAGAAGGGGTATCGGGGACCAGATTGAAGATGTGTGGTTGGCTTCTTTCTACACTCTGCTTTCCCCATGTTGCCAGCTAACAAGCTGTGGTGAGAGTTTCTGGGTTTTTGTACGTAGCACAGTATCAGGTTAGAGTTCTCATCCGCGTGGCTGCCCAGGAAGCTGCCCGCAGGTCTCCCACATCTCAGATCCCTGGGCGTTGTAAAAGGCAATAAGTGTCTCCCTGCTCCATGCATAACCCACCTTTTGATGGTGGAGAAGCAGCAGATGATTTTTAATTTATTTTTTTTTTAAAAGGAGGGGAGGAGAAAATACTAGCAAAAGAACTGAGGTTGTGAAAATGTCAAAAAAGGTGAGACTGTGAATTGATAAGGCAAAAGAGTGTAGAGGTCATGAAGTCCAGCCTTCATGGATTTTATTTTTCTAGTAGTTGCCAGAAGACACCCATTGAAAACAAGGGTTTAACTCTGAACTAATCTACACTAATTTTGTACTGATATCATTGCACTGGTTTCAGGAGAGATTCTTTTTGTCTGTCTGTTCATTATTGCTGAATGTGCTTGCACTATTTTGAGTGTAATTATTTACATTTAGAAATATTTGCAATCACAATATGAACAGAAAAAATCAAGTTTCTCCATCTGAAAGTGAAATGTAAACCTAATGGAAAATAGGGTTGCGCTATTGAACATATGAAAAAAGTGAAACTTGAGTCTTTTGAAAATGAAATAAATGCGAAAGAATGATATGTTAGTAGTGAAAACGAGATACTCATTACTTTAATGTTGGATAACTTGGTATGACACTGTGAGTGTATGCCATTTGGAAAAGCTTAGTAAATTTCTGTAAAATGCATTTACCATTTCAAAGTGATTTAAGATTGGCTGCTTTAAAATTACTAGTTTGGATCCACATTTTTATGTATCTATCTATCTATACCTGTCTCTAATCATGATGTAGTTTAGGTTGATTACCAGGTTCACGTTATTTTCATACGTCTCTGTTCCCTTCTCTCTGTGAGAGTGTTTACTTGAAATTTTGCCTCCTTTGGGGGAGAAATCAATAGATTACTCCTGTAGTGCCAGTAACTGCTGTGGCACCGAGGTGGTGCAGAGTTAAGGGGATGGTGGGGTGTGTGAGGTCAGGCATCCCTTTTCACACTGGGCACCCTCTCACTAGGAAACTGAGAAGGTACTATTTCTTCTGGGTTGTTTGTTGTTGTTGTTATCTCTTTTATGCATCCAGTGAGGTGCTTGTACCTTGAGAGGTACAAGACAAGAGTCTGACAGAAGCTGTCCACATTGCCTTGTCTTTGGCTGGCTGGTATAGGCATTTCAGTCCTACAGGCAGTTGCAGGGATGGCTGGAGGCAAAGTAGGAGATTGACAGTGGTTGGTTGCAAGAAATTGAAATTTGGGAAGGAGGCTCCCAGGGGTCTGCTTCCTTCTGTTAAGAACATGATTGGTGTAGAAGCATGACATTTTTATAGCCTTTCTTCAAAGGAGCGACACCAAGCCATACTTCTGTATAACTGTCCTTGAATAAATGCCTATCTTGTATGAACAGTATGTTTTCCAGGTCTCTCTAGATGCAAGCAAATAGGGTCCTCCATTGGTTCCTTTTTGCCTAGCTAAAGTAATGCAGAACTTTGGCTCGGAGCTAGATGGTTTCAGGCAGCATTGGAGACAACTCAAATTTGAACTTCGGGAATCCTGTTATGGGCAGGGCTTCATATCCTTGCCCTCTGAGAAACAGCAGTATTATTCTGTGTTTTTATATACATTTCGGATGAACACTGGAGAAATTGGCATATCTTACTTTTTGAATAGCGTAGATTTAGTTGATACTAGTCTTGCTAGCTAGGCTGGGGAACTTCTTGAGAAGAAAATCAGATCCTTGCAGCTGTATGTGAAATTGGGATGCTAGCAATCCTTGTTGGAGTTACAGGGGGACAAAATTAATGCAGTGTAACAATTCCTAACTGTTACTGCGTTGGGGAGAGGTTCTTGTAACCTTTGTTAAACTGTCTGGTTTAACTGAAGTAATCTCAGATTACATGTTAGAATAGACTTTGCATAGAAAGAACCAGCTCGTTTTCTTGTTTAAGCGGTTTGCCTAGAACACCGAACTGGGGGGTGGGAGGATAATGATAGAGTAGCGGTGAAGAAGTACTTCAATAAAGCAAAAAAATCCTGTCTAACACTTTACCCGATTAAGTTTCAAGAACACTTAAAATCCTGTTGAGGGAAAGGTAAGTGACATTGCTAACTATAGATGCAGAGATCTGTAAGCTGGTGCCAACTGTTGCCAATTAAGTTCCTGTATCACAGCAGAGCCATCTTGAGGTTCCTGCATTTGCAACACTGCTGATCTGTAGACAGAATAGTCAATCCGTTTCCAGATAACTGAAGTAAACTTGCAAGTCCTTTATCTACTGAAGATGATAATGCATGCATCTAAGTAAATGCAATTAGTGTCCAACAGGCAGACTTAGTTTTTGTCATCTTAATGTCGCTTACTGCTTTTTCTCAGGTTGTCAAAAGAGAAGGCACTGGGACAGAATCTCCAATGATAGGTGATAAAGTGACCGTCCATTACACAGGATGGCTTCTTGATGGCACAAAATTTGACTCCAGTCTGGACAGGAGAGACAAATTTTCATTTGACTTGGGGAAAGGTAATGTATTGTGTTTGGTATTGAACAGTTTTGGTAATAATTGAGATGGGATTTCCTTGCATGTGTGGCTCCTTTGCATGTTAAAAGTTGCTATTTAAATTTGTTTTCATACCTTAAGGTTTATTCTTAGAGTGGCCCAGTCAGAACAGCGTTGAGATTTTTTTTCTGGATGAGAAAACTGTAGCTCTTTGGTGAGGCCTGCTGAAGAATTCATGGGCCTCGGACAAAGCACTCCAGGAGAGCAAATTTGCCCTGAAGTGTAGTGATGTAAGGGTAGTTAAATAGCCAGAATGTGCATTTTGTCAATTGTTTTGGTGGGTTTTTTTTGGCAAAGGCTCAAATTCAGGGGTACTTAGTTGTGACCAGATACTGGGACAGGGTGCCCAAGGGCAGCTGTCAGCTGCAGCATGATGAAACATGCTCCCTTTTTCTCCTAAGTTCCCAAATAACCCAAATATGAATTGTGAAGTGGTGCATCTCTTCATTATCAAAAGCCTTAATTTTTTCTGAATGCGAAAATAGAAACATCCTTGTTCCAGCAAATCTTACTATTCAATCTGATTTTTTTTTCTCTGGCAGTTCCTTACCTTCTGCGTTTTTATTTAGGAGATAAATTCTGCAGTGTACTGAAATTTGAGACTATATTAAGTGTACCTATTAATACAAGACTAATAGAAAGGCTGCTTGATTGAGTTGAAAGGAGCAGCAAGTAGGAGAGCTTGAGTAAGAGACAGGATTTTGTTGCTTGACGTTCCAGCTTCTGTTCACTTTTGGCTTTGGAAGGAGTACTACTTCTCCTGCTTTCCTCCCCCTTTCTGTTACAAGTGCATGTAACTTTAGTTACCACTTGTGCTGCTCTTTGCCAACTGATAAAGTACAGAGAGAAAAGCCTGTTGTTTTGGATTGTTTTCAAAATATGAGCAGGCAATCTCTCACCCAAAGACCTTCCTATTAGAAGAGTTTATTGTTACTTCCTCGCACTTGAGATTGTGCCAAGCGCTTCAGCCCGTGTCTGTGTTCAGATGACTTGTATTCTCTATAGGCAAGGAAGTAAGGGGAGGAAAAGAATCACTACACGTAGAATGAAGAAATTGAGCCAAATTTGTGTCCCCAGGTAACGTTATAATTTGATCAGGATTAAAACTGATGTACATAAATCAGAGTAAGCACAAGTCTTTCAGTATTTCTGTTCTGTCTTAGCTTTTGTATACTAAAAGTGATGATGCTGAGTTTCACAGATGATCATGCCTTTCATGTATGCCTGGCAATCATGTGATTTAAGTTTGACTTGCATAGGTGAGGTGATCAAAGCATGGGACATTGCTGTGGCAACTATGAAGGTTGGTGAAATCTGTCGGATTACATGTAAACCAGAATATGCCTACGGCTCAGCTGGGAGCCCCCCAAAGATACCTCCCAATGCTACACTGATTTTTGAGGTAAGTGAGAAAGTCACTAAAACTGTATGCTTGAAAACCAAACAAAAATCATATTTCACTGTAGAAAATGTGTGATGTAATAGCCTCTCAAAACAAGAATGTTAGGTTTTCTAAAGAGAAAAGTGTGGTCACTTAACGGTAGTGTGGGCAAAGTGGAGTTCTAGTCTGGCTGCTACTGATCTACAGTGGTTCGGGTTCACTTATCTTAGAGTTTTTAAAATACCTGAATGTTTTCCAGTGTTCATTGTTTTAATTTTACAGTTACGGAATGATTCACTGAGTGCAAGTTGGAAGGTTGGACTCTCAGTGGCAGATTCTGAAGTAGTTGAAAAAAATGAAAACTTTAATCCACTTTCCACTTCATAAGACTCAAAGTAATGATACTTATGTTAAACATAAAGTTTTTCAACAACAGAAAGAGCAATTAATGTCCTCAGTAATGTATTTTTCATACTCTTTTGTGTTTTCTTTGCAACTTTTAACACAATCTTTTATGACCTATATGTGGGAGAAAAAAGATAATTACCCCATATAAACTGCTAGAATATAAAGTGTATTTGAACAGCTCTGCAACTATGAACTCTCTTTTCTGTAGAGCTGAGCATTTCAGTAAGCCTTAAAGCACCACAAGAAGTTTGGATTCAGGTCGCTTGTTGATTACCAAAGTCTGTCTGTGGATCCAGGCTACATTGATCAGTCTTACCATCATAGGAAGTCATTTGTACACACTTGGTACCTGTGACAGATTCAGCAATCTTGAGTTTGGTGTCTGGGTAACACTAGTTTCACAATTCACACGGACAGTTGGTCTTATTGGAGGTGAACTGTGTGTCTTGGTGAGCATGGAGCTGGTGAGCATGGAGCCAATTAGCATGGGTATTTCTTGACCTCACCAGCAGAGGACAGAATTTGTTTCCTAGTAATCTTTAAGTCATCTTCCCTACCCCCTTCCCAAAAGCAGCTGTCTCTTGTATGTTATTTCAGTAGTGAGGGTGGTTGCTCAGAATGCTGAGGCTTGTGTTTGAGTTTTCCATAGAGGATGATATTAAATAAACTCCTGGAGCATGCTCTGACAAACAGTTTAAACAGTGTTTTGGGAGGGTATATTTTTGTTGTTCAGTTTTCTAAGAAATACTTTAAAATTAATTGTACCTAAGAAAGATGGAGTCTTTTTAAGTGCGATCTTTTTAAAAATTACTTCATTCTGAAATATTTAATCCATGGAATGGACTCCTGTGTTGGGAGCATAAGGAAAGTTTTTGAGATCTGGTGATTACTCTAAGATTGAATGTTTTGTCTAATATCTGAGAAAGGTAAAAGCAGCTTAGGCAGTTGGGACTCAAAAGCATATTTAGATTTTAATGGAAACGATGAGTGTCTGTTAAGAAGGGCAAATAAAACATAGTTGGATATTGTATTTTTATTGCGTTTGGATAGTGTATTTGCATTTCTTTTTTCTATGAACTTGTGAGTAATAGCGTTGAAGATGTATTTTCTGTGGCAAGATTCAAAAAATACTGCCAGCAGGTAGTATCCCAGGTCACTAAGGGATAAGAACTTGCTCATTTTGAGTGCATCAAAATGAATGCCATTATTTCTGCAGTTGACTGATGAAAAATAGTATCTTGTAAAGCTGTTCTTAAACGGCATTATTTTTTATGTAAATCTGAAGATACTCATGGCTTATTTGTGGTGGATCAAACTATGCATGCTGGAATGCTGTGTGCTTTGCATAAATGCAAGTGATACTAGGTGTAATACAGGGCAGGATTGAAGAGGGAGATGATAACACTAACACATTTCCTGTGTTCTGACCTGATGATTCAAATGCAAACTCTCTTCTTTTTTTTTTTTTTCTTCCCCTCTCCATCTTTTTCTGCTTACTTCATTTTGGTTGAGCGAAAGGAAAACCAAGTAGAAGTTCAGTGTAGCAATTGTTGAAGATGTTCAGCTTCTCTGCTTTTTGTTGTCCACACACAGTGTCTCAAAGCTCAAGACCTTCTACCTTGGCAGCATGATAAAGCATTTCGACGGGGTTAGCACTAGTACACAGGATGCTACATTATTGTCCTGCAACAAGAGATAATACCTAACCTTTTGATAAATAAATGCCCCTAAATAAATGTACTGCAAGATGGGATTTGTTTCATCAGTGTGCTGCTGAGTCTGATACAGTCATCCAGATTATTCATTTCCTGCTGGCTTTTTAATATTGCCAGTCTGACCTCTCTATCTTCTAGGTACTGTTTAGATAAAAGTAGTGTTTCATTCATGACCCTTTATATCCTCTAATGTCTGCCTGAGCAGTAATGTTAGAGGAGAAAAGGGAGAAAGAAAGAAAAGCACTGAAGCTGCCTATGATGGTTTTGTGCTTCCCTAACAAAATGGCCTGCAGATGACTGGCTACAACAAATAAGTATTGCTGGGTGTGTCCTGAATTGAGGGGGTGGAGTGGAACTTGGATCCAAAAAGTTCTGGTTTTATTAGGTAGGAGTGATTTCTGACTAGTATGACTCTCAGGCACTTAAAAGCTCTTAAGTTTCCATTTTCTTTAGTCTTGCTCTCATGTTTCCTTTTTATTATTTAAAACACAGTCAGCATGGTTCCTTTGCGATGCCTTCACTGTACCAAAATTTTGTACTAGTTGCTGTAAAAGGGACCCTCTAAAACTGATGTTAAAAGGTTTTGTAGCTGTGTCATCACCCCATCAGCATTTGGTTATGACCTGAGATAATGGCTGTGTAAAGGTTTGCGTTTTTTGGGTTTGGGTTTTTTCCTTCCTCATGATTGTTTTTGCTGAACAATATAAATAGATTCTTCCATAGAATACTTACTGTTGTTCAAGTGGAAAAAAAAAAAAATAAAAAAAAACAATGGGGAAACATATGTTCTCTTCAGTGGGATGTTCTGGAATAACTTGGCTTGTTTCAGACAGACTGAAGAGAAAGACCAGTGTTATTTGTTACTAGATATCCATCAAAATACAAAGTGGAAGTACTCTTTGTGCCGGTGAATATTCAGTTCCTTTTGCATTCCAGGTATCTTAAGTCCAATGTCCTGAACCTCCACAGCATTAGCCCTGAACTTTTTTTTTCCCCCAAATGAGGTACTTAGTCTAAACAATGCTGATTGTAATGGCTTACTCTTTTGTGCTGTTTTTACTATTGTTTTCCTCAAACATAGATAGCAAAAGATTTTTTTTCTTAATTTTGTAGCAGCAACTTGTGACTGGATGTTTTTTCCATCTTGTCATGGTACTCCCACTTCAAACTGTGATTTGCATTAGAGCCTTGGGAGGGCATGTGAAGATTAAGGCTGGATAATGATCTCCTACTTTAAAACGAGCTCTTGAAAGTTCTAAACAATTTGTTGCAGCAACAAGTTTAGATTAAAGGTGGGACAGACCATGGTTCGGTTTAAACATTCTTCTGGAAATAATTTTTTTTCTGAAATGATCCCACGATACACAATGATAAGGCAAGACTAGAGGGGAAAATATAACCAGAGTAAAAAGAGAACAGCAACTCTGTTCAGGCATGCAAGGCAGAGTGACACAGAAGTTTTGAAACTATTGTCCTCTGGAACAAGAGTAGGAGGATGAAGAAACAGGTGTGGGGAATAGCTGAAGTCTGAAAAGATATTCTTGAATTTGTTTTAATATTGCAGGACAAGCATTTGGAATCAGTTCGGGCTCCATTCCAAGCACTTTAAAGTTGATATGAATCTGACCGTTGATCGAATTAAGGGTGTAAAGATAAGGATTGCATTTTTGTATTAAATTTTCCTGCTCCTTTAGTCCTGGCATTACTTACAAAGCTCCCTGGTCCCTGGATGAAGTGACATTACTGGTGATTCTACCTGCCTGTAGAGTAAGAGGGTGTGACAGCTGCTGATTGGTGTGGTAGCATGGCAAAGTAGCAGCTGAGAGCAAATTCTTCCTGGCTTAATGTGTTCAGAAGGTATTTTCCCTCATATTAAAAGAACCAAATGAAACCTCAAGCCCCAAAATGACTGGCCATACTTCTGCCTGCAGACATTATAAAAAATAATGTTAAAGAAGCCAGTAGAATCTTTTTGCAGTAGTCCCTTAAGCATCGTGGCTCAGGTAAGCTTTATTTAGAAGCTAGGTTCACAGTCCTTTCAATTCAGGAATCTAATTTGTAATACTGGGAGACTAAGATTGCTGGAGAAAAAAGCCATAAAAGCTGAATATATAATGTGAAACTCTTCACTAGGTTTCCATCCAGTATCTACTGAATACAGCATCTTCATAGCCTTGGCTATCTAATGTCTTACAGGGCATTAACTAAGATAGTGGCTTCCTGAACAGCTATGGTTTCAAAGGTCTCTGGAGAACAAATTCTGTGAGTTACTGAATTGATGAGAATAAATGCAAGGCTTTTCTTCCCTCCACAGATAGAACTTTTTGAGTTCAAGGGGGAGGACCTCACTGATGATGAAGATGGTGGCATAATCCGAAGAATCCGTAAAAAAGGAGAAGGCTACTCCAAGCCCAATGAGGGTGCACTTGTAGAGAGTAAGTATGTTACGCAAATAGTAAATGGGTTTACTATGTGAGGAGGGCAGGAATATGTGGTTTCTCTTTCCTTTACCAGGTAACTTTAACCTAGAGTAAGCTTTCATTCTCTTATTTCTAGCAAGGTTTACATTTTCCAGCACCAACTGTGTTCTCCAGAGATACTGGATCTGATAAAGTGCCTTATCTGATCACAAAAGGTAGATGAGTCTAATAAAGTATTTCCATTTGCTGAGGAACAAGAGGGGAAGTAGTTCTGCTACTTGTTGTTGGAGTGGAAAATAAAAGGTAGACGAACAAAAAAAGGGGTTTATTAAGTTTAGCAGCAAAAGTTCTATTTGCTGCCAGTATTCACCAAGCACAGGTAGCTGTTAAAGTGAAAAGACTGTTTAGGCGGAGACTTTTGCACTCCCTGTATTACCTGTCCTACCTGCCCATTTATCTTACATAGATATCTTCTGATTTTTTTTCTCTGGGTTCTGTTTTTTGTTACCAGTCCAGTTTGAAGGTCGATATGGAGATCGTGTTTTTGACAGACGGGAATTGCAGTTTGAGATTGGAGAAGGTGACAACTATGATCTTCCTCATGGTCTGGAGAAAGCGATTCAAAAAATGGAGAAATCAGAGGAATCTGTGTTCTATCTCAAACCCAAGTATGCTGTTTCTGATCTTTTGATATTTGAAGGACTTACACTAATCATCTGGCAAGAATCAAGTGTTTTGTTATAATGGTTTTCAGCTTTTTTCAGTGTTGTAGTAAAAACTTGGGCAGCCCCAGAAGTTTGATATACGAGAAGTATGAAGCTAAGATTACTTTCCCACTTGGTTGTGACGTAGTAGCACTCCAAAAGAAATTTACTTAGGTCTTTATAGTGTTGATCTTGGTGAATATTAAAAAAATACTGTTGCTGTCTTTTACTTACATTTTTGTGGTCCATCTTAATGACACAGTACTTACTGTACAGCAGTGCATAAAAAGATACCTAAAGAACAGCCTCAGAATAGGAAAAGAGATGATGAGCCTTCTGAGCAGCTGGATGTGACTAGATAGCTAGTCCTTAGGTGCTGTAGTTAGTAAAGAGTATCAAAAATACTTTGTCAGTAGAAAATGTTCACTGGTATTCTGAAAGTCTTTTGGAAAAAGACCTTCAAGATTCTTGTGAGATACGAGGCCAAGTTATATCCAACCATGGACCATTAGGAGAACCCTGAGACTGAGACCAGCTGAGACGTGTGAGTGCCCAATATTGTAACCTTAAACAGGCTTGCATATAAGCAGAATTTTCTCTTTACAGCAAGAACACATCTGAAACAAGTGGAGCTTGCACTGATTGTTTCCATCAAACTTTAATTTCAGTTTTTATGTCAAGTTTTTTAAACTAGACATGAACCTGATGGGAGAAGAAAACAGAGCGATCTGATCTTGAGGGTTTTCCTGCTAATATGCAGCTTCTCAGTGGAGTTGCAGTGCAGAAACTTTTTATAGGCATTTGCTGTTTATCAGCTGATTGGCAGTATGTAAGTGTACAGCTGTTCACTTAATGTCTGTATTTATCATTGTCTTTGCTTTTCTGAGAATAGTACTAAAATACTGGTGCACTGAAGGACGCGTTCAGTCTCAGACCATGAATGTAAAGCAAGATGTGTATAACTTAAAAGTATTTTTTTTAACTTGACAGGGAGAACTTTTCCTTCACAATAAGCTAAAAGAATAGGAACCGGTAACCTAGAGATTAACCTAGGTTTCTCCAGCTTTCTTCTACCTTGTGCTTGCTAATTTTAGAATAATACCCAGCATGCTTCAAGCCTCTATGTCTTGTAATAATGCTGTATAGGCATCCAGATTTGTGGGGGGTTTTGGCCTCCAGTTTCCTATGTAGAAAATATGTCTGGCTGGATAGTTTTGGAACTCTTGTTTCTTTTCCTTGCCCCGCCCCCCCATCTTACAGCTATGGTTTCGGGAGTGCTGGGAAGGAGAAATTTCAGATCCCTCCAGATGCAGAGCTACAGTATGAAGTGAAACTCAAAAGCTTTGAAAAGGTAGGAACAAGAGATGAAGTCTCAGAGATTGGGAGGTGGGGGAAGGAGTGTGAGTGCAGCTTAAACAAAGCCAATGGAAGCCTTGAACATTGATCTAAAATAGAGAAGCCACTGTCGTCAGAGATGATGACATGCTGGGAGTTCTTGGCTGAAATTGTCCTTGTTCTTACTGTATCCCTGTCTGTTGCTGTCAGTGTGTCTCCTGCTCTAGCCTAGTTTCCAGTAGCAGTGCAGAACTTCTCTTTGGCAAACCTATCTCTGCCATACTGTTAGTGGGATGCGGCATAGCCACTTGGTTTCCCCGGAAGTTGTGTCACTGACTTAAACTGTTCCTCTTTGGGTAGGCTAAGGAGTCTTGGGAAATGAACACAGATGAGAAGCTGGAACAGAGCGGCATTGTGAAGGAGAGAGGCACTCAGTACTTCAAGGTAAATTACAGTCCCCCAAGTAATAATAGTCTTTCTTAGTCCGTGTTATGAGCTGATAATGATTACAGCTTCTGTCATTTCAGAGTGATGTTCGTGGTATTCTCTGCGATGTTTTACAGGAAGGACTGGAGGGGAAGGTGTCTTGAGGGGGAAAAAAAAAGCCTTGGATAACTTTGGGGCATACATTGAATGGTAGCAAGGTTGCAGTATTTAAGTTGCTGCTGTGGGATAATGCTGAATGAACAACATTCATTTGGGCAGAGATGTGTAGAGAAGGTGTTTCAAACAATTTGACCTAAAGGCAAACTTTCCCGTTGCCTTCATGACACAGCAATAGTTGTGCTGTTTTGAATTTGCCCCATCTTCCTTGTTTTGTATTGAAAGTTGAATGTAATTTGGGAGTTAAGAGTGAAGTATCAATGCTGGCCTATACCCCTGGCTTTAGTGGGGGAACCAGTAGGTGTTCCTAAAGATTTTCTGATCCTATGCAGGAATGGCTTTCAGAAATAGTATATTTGTGATAATAGAAGTTATTTTCTGATTGAATTTTTTTTTCAGAACTACTGTTCAAGGTAAGCAGAAGGGGAAAGAGGGAGATAAAAGATACTGTGATGAGCTGTGTGATAATTGAACTGCCTTGTTTACAGGAGGGAAAATACAAACGGGCAGCATTACAGTATAAGAAGATTGTGTCGTGGTTGGAGCATGAATCTGGACTCTCCGATGAGGAGGATACGAGAGCCAGAAGCTTGAGGCTTGCTGCCCACCTTAATCTAGCTATGTGCCATCTCAAACTAAAAGAATACTCCCAGGCTTTGGAGAACTGCAACAAGGTAGTGAGGGTTTATTTATTCTTAAGATGTGCAGGCAGTCTGACAGTTTATCTCTTGCTTTAACAATTTGAGGGATAACAGGCCATGTGGCGTTTGGCCTTTCTTATCAGCTGGCAGTTGGGCAGTACTGAATACACAGTGTAAAAATACACAACAGGTTATTTTCATAATTATTGTCCTTTGAATATCTTTTATTAACTTGCTGCTACATTGAGAATATTTGAATATTTAGAAATTAGAAACACTGAGATGTGGGGAAGGTAGTCATGTTGGCAAAGGTCCTTCAAAGAGCTGGAGTAGAGCCAGGACTAAATCTTAGACTTGCTAGTTCTCTGTCAAATAGTCTACTATCTTTGTACTTCTACTGAGGTCAGCTCACCTTATTAGTAAGCCCTGACAAGACTCAGAAACCTACATCAAAATGGACAGTTTCAGGCAGTCTCTGGTGTGGCAAGTGCGTATTATTTAAAGAAAAAAGTTATTCTTGAATGTGATTTTGTTTTGGTTCTCTAATGCAGGCACTCCAGTTGGATAGCAATAATGAAAAAGGCCTCTTCCGGCGTGGAGAAGCACACTTGGCTGTGAACGACTTTGAATTGGCCCGGGGAGATTTCCAGAAAGTGATACAACTTTACCCAAGTAACAAAGCTGCCAAAGTGCAACTGGTAACTTGTCAGCAAAAAATACGGGAGCAGCATGAAAAAGAGAAAAAGATGTATGCCAACATGTTCCAAAGGCTTGCAGACAAAGACTTAAAGGTAAGTAACACTACTCCAGCAGGCCTACAAGAGGTGGTGTCACATGTTAGACAAGGAACAATGTTTCAGGTATTCAGCTTACTTCTTAGTACAGATAAATACAGTGGGAGAACACTCAAGTAGCTTCCTCTGCAGGGAAAAAACTGGAAATAGCCAACAGTCAAAATGATTAGGCCGCCTTGTTTGAACAAAACTCACAGTACCAAGCATTGCACAGAATGCTTTTAGTTATTTTAACTGATTTTTGCAACAGACTAGTGTTCATCAGAAAACAATTGGAGTGATTAGGTGCAAACACTATAATGTTCGAGAACTGAAAAAAGTGCCTAATCTCCTTGAACTGATCGTTCTAAAGAACAGTCTGTTCTGGTGCCTGTGTGGTCCATCTACTGAGGCCTTATGTCTGTCATACAGATGGTGCTGAGCACCATCTTGTTTCTCATGGAAATATTAAGATGTGGCTGATGTTATCTGTCTCAAATGTGACAGATCGATTATGAAGTGTTGGAATTCATACTCAGAAGATTTCATTATTCTGCTATTTGGATGGTTTTCCTACTTACCTTTCACTAGAATTTTAGAAAATACTAGTTCAGTTAATAATGGCAATATTTGGACGCAGGTTATATATAACAAGGTTGTATCAGCTAGCGAGAAACATTTATACTGGCAAGAATCACATATCCTAAGAAAATGTTACTTTTGTTTTCCTTAAATCTGATGATCCAGAAGGACTATGTAAACCCATAGCTTCCAAGACAAATCTGGGAATTACATGAGACTCAAATTTTCTCAGTAACACTGGTGACTGCAGAAGCTTGCATCTTGTGAGGTTGTTCTCACGGTTTTTGTGTCCCCCTTCCCAGAAAATGCTTGGTGAAGCTAAAAAACTGTCAGATATTGGTATGTCAGCTTCCTCTCATTAACTGTGTCAGCAATTCTGTCCAGAGGCTCACTGTCCTCAGACGAGTGTATTCTGACAATTCAGCCATCTCAGGCTGTCAGCTGACAACTTCCTCCATGAAGCACTTCTCCCCCTCGCCCAGTCTTTCAAAATGAGATATACCCGAAATCAGTTTGTCTCCCAGAGACAATGGGAGATGTATTCCATCTCTTACTCTGCTAAAGTAGTCATACAGCAAGCATAGGATATTCACCCCTACCTGGATGGTTGCATGGGCAAGCAACATGTTCTGTTTGTGGCTTTTTGGTTGTGGGTTTTGGGGTTTTTGTTTTATTTTCTCTTCAAAGAGTAGTGGTACTTCTGTGGATTTGGTTCTGCTTCTTGTAGAGGAGTGTAAACAAACACATAAATGGAGACATTCCCCACTGATTCTGTAAGGAAAGTGTCATTGTCCGTGTAGTGATGTATCTGGCTAGAGCCCGGAAAGAAGTATTCTGTCCTTTTAGACATTGTCACATAAAGCCACGCAGGTCCATAGTATTTGGTAGGCTTCAATGAAAAGTCTCAGAAAGATAAAAATACAGCAACTAGACTAGAATTATTTCACTGTTGGGCATCTTCAGTTTTGAAATTTCAGGTGTTAATTGCTGACTGTCAGGCTCTGATGTGCAGGTTCCTTTCAGCTAGCACAGCTGCTGGGAATCTGGAAATTGCTGAAATTGAGTCACATTGATATTGAAACAGGATGAAAGCAGTCCTGTGCAGAAGCTTCCTAAGTGCATTTGAGTTTGTGAGAGAAAACACTCTCTAGGAAAGTGATGTGGCAAGTGTGTGCACGCCACATTATGAATCATAACCATCTAACCACCAGTATTATTTCTCAGCCTCCTCTAAACTGCTTCTGGTTTCTTAGATGGAGAAAAAATGTAAAGAAATTTTGGGTTCTCTTGGCTGAAGGTCCTAATATCTTAGTTCAGTCTTGCAGGGAGACAGGTATCCTAGTGATAAGAATCAAATAATGTTTGTGGCATTGTTTGCAAATGCTAGCAATTTTGTGTAACAAAGGAATATATTTTCTTTGTCTCTGTTTAGTCAGCTGCTGCTCTTCAAATCGGCCACACTGAAGATGCAGAAATGAAAGATGAGCGGAATGGAGTTGAAGATAAATCAGAAGTTGACACAGAAGCATAAAACCAAACCCTATTCCATTAGTTTTGTAAATGAAAGAATTTCCAGTGAATTAGACCTTTATTTTTCTACCTGGTTGGACAGTAGCTTCAGGGGAGCAGAGGCTGAAGCCACCATGCCACAGTCAGTTACAGCTTTGTATGTCTGTTGAAGCTGAGTGGCAGCATAAAGCTGGTTTAATCCTAGGGACTTTATTTATTCAGCCTCTGTTCTGTCTGGATTTACTCTGCTTGGTTTATTTGCATTTTGCCATTGGTGTTTGTCTCTTTCTGGTTCCAGCTCACTTATAAACGCCCAGGTTCTGCTTCCTAAATTTATTTCCTTGATTTCTTTCAAGTAATCAGCCTTTTCCAGAAGTCCTTACATGAGACTTGAGAACAAATTTGTGCTCCCAGTTCTTCTGCCTTGGGATTGCCCCCTTACCCCCTGTTCAGTAGGGAGTCCCTTCCGTTAAGTGTGGTAACCTTTCTTGTATGCCTTCTTTTCACAAATGGCTGAAGGTGAAGACTGCGAAGTCACAGCTTAAGTAATAAAGCTCCAATTAAACTCAAGAAAACAACTTTTTGTGGTTTTTGTTGGAATTTGCACAGAGTTAAGAGAATTACTGTCCTTTGGTCATTCAGCATTTTCTCATCCACATGGCTGTACAATAGCCACAGTATCTGATTATTTTCCTGTTGTTGTTTCATTGCCATAGAAAATTCCTACAATAATCAATACAGTATTTACCTGTATATTTGCAAAGGAAAAAATATGTTGCTGAAAATTGTACAAAAGCAAGTTCATAACCTATGCATAGAGTTCACTTTCTGTTCCTATTGCTACCTTCCTTTTTACCCTCCATGTTGTAAAACTGGACCAGAAAAAAAGTCCTGAAAGTGACTGGCTTTGAAGAGAAAATAGATTATAATGGTTTAACACATTACAAATACTTCTAAATCCTAATGAACTACCAACTTCTGAGTAGTAGTTCTAAGGTCTGCTTATCCTTGTCTCACAAGAAAGCTATTGCTCGATATTCTTGTGTCTTGTTTGGGGGCGGGAGTGCTTTTGGCTTTTGTAGGGGGCTTTTTGTTGGGGAGGGGTTTTTTTATTTGTCTGCAGGCATGGAACATAGTACTCAAACTCACCTTCTCTGAAGGTAGTGTTAAACTCAGCATCTCCTTTGTCCTGTTCTGAGACCCTCTAGATAGGCTAGAGGGATACTTTTTTTTTGCCTGCTCTGCAGAAGGAAGGTATATAATCTGTTCCTCTCAGAAACAAAAATGATTTTTTTTTTGCAGTGAGAAAGATTCCTTGTCTTTGCATGGCATAGGATGGGCTGGAATTGTGTGTACATTGCAGAGAGTATCCCTGTTTTAACATGACTGACATCTGAAATTTTAGTTTGAATTCCTGGTCTCCTTTGCTGAGACAGAAGTACTTAAAAGCACTTATTCATGAGGTTCTTGGTGGGGATGTTTAAGTGGGGTGGGGGAGGCATAGGAAAAGAGGCAGGATGAGGTGCTTGGTAGGTCATCACATTTAAGGAGATGCTGATTTCATTTGCTTAGCAAAATCTTAGCATTGCTCTGTACTGCAAGTGCTTTTCATGAGTTCTGACTCTCAATAGTATCAGCCCTGTGTATGTTAAAAATATTTCTCCTTGCACCAAAGCTCTCCTGCCTCTAAGGGGAACATTACAGACAGGTTACAACAAGGTGTGAAGAATGTCTGTCAACCTAAGCTGCAAGAGGGGAT